GGAAAATCTCAAATCCAAGAACCAAATCCTTAACGGATGTCGGATATCAAATGCGTTTCTCTCTGTCTTCACGTTGGCTGTGTAAACGCAGAGTAGTAACTCCTGTGAGATCATTGCTAACGAGTAAACTATGACTTACAATCTACAGTAGATACAAAATACATCACTGCACAGCAAGCGCTATAACACTCTGGAGCCATAGCTTGCTTACTTTATCCCTAAGACTAAAACATCGACTAAGCGCTTGGAAAAAATGCTAAACATATATCATTTATATGAAAAATTTATGTTCGTTCAAGTGATATCGACCTCACTGCAATTCTCAACAAGCAACCTAATCAAATGCAGCGGCTGTACTCTACTGTTTAGGAAATATTAAAGCTGCAGTGATGTAACGTGGGAGTGACGATGACTGGCAATACGCGAGCGTCCAGGTGCAATCTTCCAAATACAATCACAACTTAACGCTATCTGCTGCCAAATAATGAAATTTTCTGAGTAAATAAACTTTTCACAAGTATTTCCGTTGTGATTTGTGCATCCTGAAAATGTTCCAAAGAATACAGGTACTGAAATAAATTAAAATAGTGTACATAATTTTAAACTTCCTATTTTATTTTCTTGAAACAACACAAAAACGGAATGAAGCAACCTCCGCACACTCCGAGTGATCTTGCATCCAAAAGTAGTGAACCACAGTGAATAATATGTGGGAAAAGTCGCACTCGATCTAGTCCCTCTCAAATTTAGACTTTTCGTATTCCTTTATATGATGGACGAACGGTAAAAAGTGTTCAAAATCCAAATTCCTAATAGAGGCCTCGGCGACCATTCCGCTGCCTGTGTCATTGGCAGGTGTCCGGCAACGGTCCATGATACTGTCATCGTTTGCTAAAGGTATAAACGGACTGGAAATTTTTTCAACTGCTATTTATGATATGAATATTCGTCCTAGATGTCAGCTGAAACCGGTGACTTCCAAGGTTGAATCTTTACTAGGGTTCGTCTGGAAAGTAGCATCTGGCTCGTTGTACACTCGAACGGATGCTGCTGCTTTTCCCGTAGGCAATAGCTTAGAACCGTGGGTTATTAGTCTTTATTAGTTATTTCAGTTATTATTAGTTTTCTCGACTCCAACTGACAATTTGGTGTAGCTGGAACAGCAGGTCCAGATTGAGTCTTATATATGACCCTGTTTATGGAAAGTCGCGAGTTTGTTCTAAAGCGAACAGAATCAAACATACGCTAAATTAAAATCCAATTGTTACTGACGATTTTGGATAGTATGAAAATGTAAAAAATTCAATAAAACGCTTAACAATACCTTCTTCAGCTCTATCCGAAGGAGCCTTGAAATAAGCATTGAGAGGAAAATTGGCCTCACCGGGTACAGGAATGTCTTGACTCAAAGCAAACGATGCCATTTCCTTCATGCCAATAGTTTTATTTGAACACTGAAAGAAGATTTATAATCAGGAGGCAGAACAAATAATTCAAGCTCAAAAACTCTTAATTTTATTTTACGACTTAAATCAGGCAAATACAGAATTACATGGCTCACTGATAAGCTTAAAATAAATCATGTTAGCATATGCATGAATAATAGCTTAAAAACACAGTGGCTCAAAGAAACATTCAGCTTCTACACACATTAAGTAGTAGCTTAAATAATCATAGGTTAAATCAGCCAAGCCGAATGAAATGATCGATAACTGAAAGAAACATGATTCCAAATGCCACAATGATAACAAAACTATAGATATTGTTTAAACCACAAACAAACCACCCTTGGCTGATGATACATAAGTGGACAGGCAACAAAGCAGCATAATCTCTATCATGGAAAGGAGCCGCAACCATCTTTCAGTCTTGACGATAAGAGTGATATTTCCACGGCAGTGAATTTATTTTTAATTAAATATGCCCTACGAGTCTAGCAACAAAGAGGACACTGCGAATATGACCTGCAAATCCAGTCACCGTACCAATGACAAGACTATTCATTTCAGCATCCACATTCCACACACCCAAAAAATTCTTTTTTCTCTCTCGGCGGGAGGGGCAGCGATGCCTGGATGAATTCCATGCTGAATTGCATTAGCAAAAAATAAATAAATTAAACTGAGCGTAGATTCGTATGGTATCTCTGTCCTGCAAACCGCAACGACTGCCCATTAAGAAAACTCAATAGGAAAGCTAAAGGGAACAAATTTCATAAAACCTACCTTCTGCAAGCGTTTCAGACATTCGACGATGTACAACGTAAGGTAGATCAGCGTGCGATCAGCAGGAGACTAAAACGGTCAGAAAAATAACTGTTAGTCATTAATTTTTAAGGAGTAAAGCTTGAAACACATCTTACCTTAATCTCGAAATTTCTGGCGAACATGTTCGCTTTAAAATAGTACAGAGCTTCATCAATTATGTCCTTGTCGGCTAGAATGTGCTTCAAGTGCTAAAGATCAGAGTAAGAAAACATAATACCTTCCTTCGGAGCTGGACCTTTGAACTTTGTGCGAAGCGGCAGAAGAGCCATGTTGCAGACTTGCAAAGTGCTATCCGTGTAATGCGAGTGATATGCCTTAAACAAGTAGATGCGATCAGCAAAAATACCCAACAAATAGCAGCACTTTGAGTGTATACCGAAAGTATTTTGCACTGTTTAAAGTACTTTTAAACTTAAGTACGTTTACACTTAGGTACGCTAAAAAGTTAGAACTTATGCTCAAGGATCCTGGCCAGGTGGACTTTAGAACAGAAACGTTTATTCCGCACAGATGTCTAGGACCTATGATTGGTCACCAATGATTGGTCGGGCAGTTTCGATGATTGTTTATCCTTTCAGGTCGAGGAAAGGAAACAAACGCGCCGAACAGTACTTCCAACGTTCAATGATTCTGTGAAAGCGTTTCAGTTTCAGCAAAAGATACCTTAAGTCTGCAGCAGAGTGTGTCGATATACTTGCCAAGGTTATTTTTGGCAATCTTCGGGTTCTTCAGATGGTCGGTTCGGTAAGCAGTAGCTTTTCACATACCTCCTTGAAACAGTTCGTAAGATTTGTCAAAATCATCGCAGCTGTGGAATTGCAGTATTAAAAAGCAGCGGCTGACATCTGAATATCTGAGCTACTGCCAGTCGCGACGCTTGAACCTAGCGATTCGTCTCAAAAAGTGAATTTCAACAACGTGTAACCGGGATCGAAGTTTTCAGTAATGGTAGACGACTCTTAACCGCAGGAAAGCATGGGGATAAAGATCAACCTGAATGCTTAGTTTTCAGACCCAGCTCTGCTTTAGTCACAGTCGTTCAGGTAAGTTCGCGCAGAACGCATTTTGTAACGGATTCTTCATGCCTCATCTAATAATCAGGTCTAAATTTTACGAACGGTATAAACGGTATGCACGAGATATGTGAAAGAAGCATATATTGGTCCTGAGTATGAAAACACGTTGTTCCTACTTCTGTTCATTGTGATTGTCAAGCTGTTTCAGTTATATTTTACCAAAAAAGCTTTGTCATGTGCAGAGAATGTGTAATAACATTAAATAACATATCGAGTACAAAACCCTGATATTCTCAGGTAGACTCGTGAGAGGAGCTTTCGATACCGCGGTAGATGCATAAAATTGAACTTTATTATCCCTGACTTTAATGCAAAAATTACCGTGTAAAGAAATAAAAATACATTTCTTACTTTACACAGAACTGCGTTAATGTAAGACAGACGGAAATCTCACCTGATAGCACCGTATCACTGCATCGCCTCCTTGCTTCTAAACCACGGGTCAGGGAACTTCTTTACCTATTACCCCAAACACGTTTATTTACACCCTCGGTTTGAAAGGAAGAAAATCGCAGATTATTTAAATTCAAAAAGTATATTGAATCTGTTTATACGGAGAATATAATTAAAAACATAAAAGAATAAAATGAATGTGGTAACATAAATGAATGAATGTGGTAACATAAATGTGGTAACATAAAAAGAATGTGGTAACATAAAACAATAAATGTGGTAACATAAATGAATGAATGTGGTAACATAAATGAATGAATGTAGAAACATAAATTAATA